TCTGGCGTCCAGTTGGGGTCCAGTTGGTGTCCAGTTGGCGTCCAATTGGCGTCCAGTTGGCGTCCAATTGGTGTCCAGTTGGCGTCCAATTGGCGTCCAGTTGGAGTCCAGTTGGCGTCCAATTGGCATCCAGTTGGTTTCCAGTTGGCGTCCAATTGGCGTCCAGTTGGTGTCCAGTTGGTTTCCAGTTGGCGTCCAATTGGCGTCCAGTTGGTGTCCAGTTGGCCTTCTCGACCAATGGAAACGCTGCGTTTTGTCACTCTTTAGAAGCACAGAAGAAGAAAGAAAATGGCCGACCCGCCGTTCGACGCTTTCAAGTCCAAAAGACGTGCTGTTTACTGGCTTTAAAATCGACTTTTACTCTGTTTTCACTGTATATTTAGCTCTTTTCAGTACGTAAAAGTATCATTTTTTTGTTCTTTTTCACGTTTAAGTTAGTTCAGGTTTGTCTTCCTGCCACTCACGTTAACGACTGGATTCACTCCTCTGTTTTTATTATTATTTTTTTAAATGTGTGTGAGCGTCTCCCGGATGGAAAGAGACGTCCTTTATCCTCCTCTTCTGTTCAGAGAACCTGAAACGGGACCAAAACGAGAATGTTTCTCTCAAAAGATTGTAAAGACAAACTTATTATTAAAGAGAGGCGTAGAAGAGACGTTTATGTGCGTTTATGATCGATTTCGGCCCCTCGGAAAAGCATAATCCTCTGGAGTGGGTTGGATGGGGGATTGGGCTTTACTTTTTTATCATATTTTCATTTTATAAAACGCTCTTAGCCTATTCTTTAAACACGGATTAGCTAAAGCCTCTTATGATATCGAGCACTACTCAGAACTGCACTGTGGTAACTTTACGAACGTTTTCCAGTTGCCTGCAGCATTGAAATTGTACATAAGATATTTATTGGGTGTGAAAAGAAGTTCCAGGCGGCCCGTTTGGGTCCGACTGTGGTCAGAAACACTGGACAGCGACCAAAGATGAGCATCGTGTGTCAGATCTGTATTTCGACACGCTCCCTTCATATGTCAGAGCCGCTTTCCAAAAGCAGGGAAAAGAAGGTCAGACTTACAAGAGTTTGGATTAACGGGACATTTTTATTTTCTAACAGAGACCTTTTAGAGGCTATTTCTTTTTTTTTTTTTTTTCCTTCTTTTTTTTACCATATTATGCGTAAAAGAAAAACTCCCCAAAGAGATTTAAGAGATTAGATTTGCTCATTTCCAACAATCTTTTAATGAATATGTGTCAGTTTCATATTAGTGAGCTGGAGGAGATCTGGATATTGGCTCAAAGAGGATTTTCTCTTGCTTCAAAAGGAGAAATTTATGGTCTAAATACGAATTAGAAACTAACATCTGGAAGAATTTAATATTTTATAACAGAATACAGAAATTTCACTATGTTAAGAAAAGTATTATTTTGTGTTTTTATTTTGTGCTGTTTCTTCTTACTTTCTACATTGTTTTGGCCACTTCTGAGTTTTTAATTTAATGTTTGGATCTTTTAAACAACAGAAGAGGAAAGTCTTTTCTGACCCCGGCTGTATTGTCGTTACACTGGAAAAACTGGATCATTCCTTTGTTGTCTGAAAGTGAGGAAATGTGATGCTAAACGCTCTGAAATCTGAAACTTTGCGGACACTTGACTGCTAAATATGGCTGTACTGTGAGGGTTTTACGAGGGTTTTCAACGTGGTTTTGGAAAGAGTCGGTGAGAGAAAATGACGTTTTGATAAATTAGCATTCATTATTATTAACAGACTCTGTGTTTAAAAGTGTGAATGGGTCATTTTGAAGCGTGTACATTACTGATTTTTGAAATGTATTCAATGCAAGCCTTTATTTTTCTAAGAGAAAACCGAACTAAAGCAGAAACTAAAACAGAATTTAATACCGTTATAAATCTTTAACAAACTTAAGAAGTGCTCTCTGTCCCACTGAGTTAGAAACCAGGACGGATTCTTTAACTTCTGTGGACAAACTGGTGGCCAAACGTGTTCTTATTTATACAGACGGCCTAAACTGTGGACATTAATGTACAGTGTGCACTTGTATCCTCCATATTTATGTTCATGGAAAATGCCTTGTATGATATTTTCAATTAAATATTCAAATGATCAGAAGCTTGCGAGTTTTTTTTATTATCTTTTTGCCTGTTTTTTGTGAGGGGATGCAGGTTAGTAACTCTACAAAATGCCTGTTTTTTAATGGAAATTGCCGCTTTCAACCACCAGATGGCAGCAGAGGACCCAGACCATCAGACTTTGCATTATTTGATTCAAGATTATTAAAGATTAAAGGGATTAAGACTTTATAACGGACACAAATCCAGTGGAAAAAGATGTTCGCGGCATTTCTTTAGGCAGCAAACCAGCTTCTTTTTTGCGAGATGTAATCATTCACACGAGGAGCTTTATTGAAGTTTGTCCTCAATTTTAAGCTGCTGAACACTTTCTCCGCATATTCTATGATCAGTCCAGCAGAAGCAGGGATGTGTCCACTCTGATCCGGAGGTCAATAATGCAGGCTAAGACTCTGGACTGATGTTAGTCTTGATTCAATCCATTTGACTGGCAATAAATGGCCTGAAGGAGAGAAAGAAAGCAAACAGATGGCCTGGTTTGGCCTAAAAAGGGACTATGAGTCAGGTTTAAGACCAGAAATGTTTGTGTTTGGAGATGAATTATGATCCCTTGTTCTTTGGTATTAGCTTGAAATTGGACCAAAGAAACATGATCTGTGATTATTTAAGTTTGATTGAATCAGACACGAATGAAACCCGAGTAAATAAAGCAAAATAAAAAAACCCGTAAACCTTCTAAATAAGACACATAACAGATTAAATCTTCAGGGAAAAGGAAAAGGAAGCAGGTGCGTGCAGGTTTGGGGTAGAGTGTTTATTATTAATTTGCAATTAGCGATGTAGCATTCACCTACATGGAGCAAAAGGAAGCCATAAATATGCTAAAATGCAAATATGCACAACTTTAATCAAATCAGCTCGTGTCACCGGGATAAAAATCCGAGGAAAACTCAGTGACGCCTCTCCGGATGGCCTCAAGGGTGGAATGGAAAGAAGCCCTCGGTAAATAAAAATACCAAAAACAACAGAGTTTTATCAAATATTTAGATACGAATAAGAAAAAAGAAACAAAGTCAGAAGAGCACTGGATATTGGGAAAGTGAGAGAAGCTTCGCAATGCACTGCACCCGTAATAGTAGTAGTGTGTGTTTTTTTCCCGTCTTTTATCGTGGAGCTACAGTACTGAGTCGGCAGAAAAAAGGTGCATGGCTTTTTTATTCAAATGGTTTCCCGCTTTTTTAATGGGGAACGGGAGTGGATCTGGGTCCTTATGCGTCAGAAAAACGAAACAATAAACAATGGCCAGACTCCAGGGATCGAGAGGTCAGCCTGTGGACTGACGCCGGGATCCCGTTTAAAATAAAAACGCAGAAAAAAGACAGAAAAGTTATTAAATTAAGACAAAAGAGAAGTGGCACCACTGTTTCCCTGCAAGTGGTTTACTTGCAGGTCATGCTCCGTTAGTGAAGTCCGGCAGAAAGAGGTGGGGTTTGGCAGTCAGTCCCACTCGCTGTGTTCAGAAGGCGGCCATCTTGGAACCTTAGATGAATGCG